GTGACCAACAAGTTTCACACGCTCGAGATACTTTTAGTTCACTTTTTCGTATCGTTTTGTTTTGTTTTGTTTTGTTGAATTTTGCTTTGTTTTCGGCAACAGCTGGCTGCTGTTTGGAAAAATCTTTTTCGTTGTTGTTGCTGTTGCTGTTGTTGTTGTCTTTTTCTTTCTTCTTTGGTATCTAATCAATTTGCCGGCACAATAGCAAGATGATGCGAACAGAACGATGCCTGCAACACGACAGCTGGCTGTGACTTTATTGTTTTGTATCTGTCAGCTACGTTTTGTTGCTGCTGAGCCAGCAAAGCCAGTCAACCCAGGCACAGACGCTGCCCCAGGCGGCAAACAATTAAATACAAATTAAAGCAGCGCCTCCAAAATGTATCTGCTAGATACAAGTTCATAGCCGCCGTACCCAGACTCAGACTCAGACCCCTATCCTCCGCTCTAGGTGGCCAGCGTTTTTGAGAGCGCCAAAATTGAACAAATGAGCGCCTAGTAGAACAACAGTAGATATTCGCTAACTCGAACCACTTGCTTAACTCACAAAAATGCACAAATAAAGAGTACATCAGATGCAAAAAACCAAATCTATATCTATATATATATATATATATCTGTATACCAACCTAACAAATTCGAATAGATTTCATTGAAAACCTTACTCGAAAGTCAGTCAAGATTTTAAGCCAACCAATGAGATAATTTTATGGAGAACAGCAAATTAGATTACGTATAATTCGAGATAGCGTAGTTTGGCTGTAAGTTGAGGTTGAGGTGTATGTGTGTGTGTGTGTGTGTGTGTGTATCTTTGCAGCTGCGCAGTGATTGCTGCTTTGTTTAGCTTTGGTTTCTCTACGATATTATTTGGTTTGGACTACCTGCGACCAGGTCATCTGTATCTATATATATATGTATCTGTATTTGTATATGTATCTGTATCTGTATCTGTATCTGTATCTGTATCTGTATCTGATTGCTGCGCATCTCATTGTTGTCTGGCAGGATCGGTTTGGAAACCGGTTCACGAGCATCGCAGAGGCTTCATCAAATTCTATTCTATTCTGTATTTCTTTCACTTTTTTTTTTAAGGTTCAGCTATTGGTGTTTTTTTTATTGCCTGTTGTTATTAGGTGCGTCTGCTCGTGATTTGTTACATTTTACACCTGCTGCAGACACTGTTGTATTTGTATGCTTAGCATCTGCATTGCAACTTTTGCCTGGCAAAAATGTGCTCTTTTTTCTGTTGCTTCATTCATGTGTTTCATGTGTGTTGGCAATTGCAGTTGTCACATAAATCCGACCTAGTTGGCTATAAATTCGCTGCCAATATTTTAATGTACAGTGTCCAAGTACCCAACAGAGACTGCATTCTATGATTTCCAATTCGTATAATCCTGTTAAATTTAAACAGATTTGCAAACCCTATGCCAATTCAATTATGGCTGATACGAAGTCGAATTACATTTTTATGTATGCATATAATTTGATTTTAGGAGACGACTTTTTATTTCAATTACTTTTCGCCAACATTTCTGGACGCATACATACATACATGTATGTAGTACATGTATATGTGGAAGGAGTGAGGAGAACTGGGTGCATGTGGAGCTCACATAATATACGATTGGGGTTCAGGCTTAACCAGCAACTTCATTGTAAATGGCTTTTGAGTTTTCTTGTTGCTGTTGTTGATTTTGCTGCTGCTGTTGCTGTTGTCGTTGTTGCTGCTGGTGTTGTTGTTGATTGTGGTTATGCGCTGCTGTTGGCAACTTCCTGTCACGTCTGCCACAAAAAAATGCTGCAGGCCTTGCATTACAACGGCAACTGACGACTGACAAACAATTTGCAACAAGGCAACGAAAGTTTCGGCAGCTGCATTAAAAACGACATGAGCCAAAACTTTAGTCAAAGCGGCGGCAAACAAAAACTGAGAAAGTATGCCGGCCAACTGACCACTCGGACACTGCCTTACAAATGACCACAATGCGAGAGAGAGTGTTGTCCTTGCAACATGCAGCATTCAGCAAGCAGCGATAAATGTATGCATACCAAAGGTATGCGTCCAACGTTAACTTAAATTATGTGCAACCGCCAGCTGACAGAGGGACAAACTAATGATGCATATGATTGTTATTTATTGCACTTAAGAGCATCAAAACAAAACAAAAACAAAACAAAAAAAAACCTGATTACAATTTCCAGCTGTTTCCAGCTCAAACCAAAAATAGTCGTAAATATTTCTCAAGCAACGCGTCACTAAACTCAAAAATGCTAATTTTAAGACAATTGTCCGAGTTACAACATCGATTTGCAACTTCGTAAGTCAACAAGCAGCGAACATGCCCCGAAGGACTTCTTCTTCTTCTACGCCCCCCCTTCCCCCGGATGTAATTACGCGCAACTTGAAAGTGTTCATGGCGGCAATAAATACAAATGGGCTGTCGTCAACTTTCCCAACCAACTGTTTTTTATTCCATTATTCCATTATTTTTTTAATATCTTAATGAAGTTGTGCAAAAGTATGCAGTAACATGCCGATGGAGGTATCTACGATCCCATAAATGATGTATACAAATTCTTAGCTAGCATGAACAGTAAAGTCAGATCACAGAGACTATATTTGATCGATATCTTTTGCTGTTTCACGAGTATCGATTCAAAGCGATTTTAGATTATAATTTTAATTTTCACACTGCGTGTGTGAGTGCTAAAAGACAATGGGAACCTTGCTTATGCGGCCAGGAGCCGTCAACTTGCCGCTTCTGCCTCTTCTCCCGTCAGTTGCCGTCAGTTCGCATCCTTCTTTGTCATAGCCATTGGCAATAATTTGCTGCCTTGTTTTCAACTTGATCTCATTTCTATGGCAGCTCCTTGTTTGCTGTTTTGCGGCGTGAGTGTCAGTTGTTGACGCAAATTACAAACTGTTGCATTCTGTGCATGCTTCGGGGCCAACTCCCTCCCCTGCCCTGCCCTGCCCTGCCCTGCCCTGCCTCAAATCTACTTTCAATTCCCCCTTGCCACCTCGTTCACTCTGTAGCTGTTTCTGTTATGGTCGAGAATACAATTCGTCCCGCTCCCCATCAATCCACAATAAATCCCCTGTTTGCTGCTACAATTCAAGCATACCCTGTAAAAAAGCCTCTCGAGCCTATCACCAAACATATATATTTATATTTATCTATATATGTATATATATATATATGTATATATAGTACTTATCTGTAAGAATATATTTTGTGATCAATATGCACTAATGGATTTATGAAATTTATTCTTTTTTGTAAGTTTTTTATGTATATTTTTTAATGTATTTTCCACAATTGTTGTGAGCATGCAAACATGTGTATTAATGATACTTTAGTTCTGATTACACGGTATTACTTAATAAAGCACTCTTGACTATTATTGCTTTTTTTTTTGCATTTTTTTGTTTTGTTCTTGCTGCGGTGGTTGCTACTCTTGTTTGTTTGACCTGGCACCACGAATGTCTGATGAGAATCTCGTTGGGTGGCTCAATGGAGCGCAGGGGCGAAGGGTGTGGCAGTCGCTGGTGGCAGCTGGTTTGTGCGCTGACCGGCGCTAGCTGCAATATTAAAAATGATAGAGATACTCGTACTCGTACACTACACACGACTAGTGAAAGAGTTGCTAGACCATGGACAACCAACCAACCAACAAACAAACAACGAACCAAATGCAAGTTGAATGGGGGGACTGGGACAATTGCAACATAACCAGAGTCACAAAGCTGCCTCTGTCTATGTGTATGTGTGTGTGTGTGTGTGAATGTGTGAATGTGTTTTCTGATGTGAATATTTAAAGCCGACTGATGACGAACCAAACGAGCAGCAAGCACTCTTTAAAGAGTTGTCTTCGCCACCCACAACTGCAAACTTGCCTCAATTGCTTGCACTTGATGAGTTTGGCTTTCGAATTACACAGGTTGCATTTATAGGCAATCAATTCTGTTATAATCGAAGACAATTTCTGCAATCAGATTCGCTTTGAATTGGGAGTTCTTTTTCTATGTGTTTGAGCCAAAAGTTGTATTGAGTATTGCATTTATAGACATTCATCAATTAATATCCAATAATTGTTTAAAATTGCTAATACAAAAGCTTGAGTTGAAACTCACTCGATTATATATCTCGAATCTAATTAAAACGGGTTAAAAGGGGTAAAATAAAGTTGTGCAGCGACATGTAACGGGCTAAAGGGAGTATCTCCGATCCCGTTGAGAATATTATATATTCTTAAGCCGATCTCAGAGACTATAAGGCTATAAGTGACTTTATGAATTAAATTTAAGTTCTCAAATCGACTTAATTTCATTTGAATGATAATAGGAAAACTTGAAGCAAATTAACTGTATTTTAAATCGTCTCTCTCTGCCCCAAAACATTCCCCGACCAATCTCGTTTATTCCATGTGAAATGTTTCAACCTTTTTCCGCCCTCTTTGTTGCTGCTAACTGCTGATAAGTTGTAGTTGACGCATATCCCATTACGGTTTCCGTTTGCGGTTGCAAGCAAAGAGTCCCCAAGGTGAGGCAGCTGGCTGCAACTTTTGCCGTTGCCGTCCCTGCTGATTACCTGCCCTCTTTCCCTCTTTCCCTCTTTCCCTTCCCTTGCTGTCTGCATTAAGCTCTGCTGGTCTAATGTCAAGTTAGCTGAAAATTATTTAGGATTGTTTTCTGAGTTGGAATTTTGGTTTGACTTTGTTTTGCTTTCTGTTATCGAAGCTGCCTGCAACAATGCAATTTTGCTGCAGCAATTGACGATTGAAGTCGAATTTTGATGTGTTAATCTGAAACTGATTTAAGGAACAACAAATTTGACTTTGACTTTGAAAATATTCGAATTAAAGATATATGTATAAATATATTATATATTTTTTGTACAATATAAAGCTAAAGGTTAGAGCATTGACGCTTCGACTTTGCAGTTAAAACACTTTTGTGTAAAGCTTTAATTTTGGTTTTCCTTTTTGTGTTGCAGCAACTAAAACTTGAACTGATACTGGAACGGGAGCAGCAGCTGCAACGTGGCAACTGTCTTTTTCGGCAGTGGGCAACACTTTTTAATTGAAAAACTTTACGCAGTCATTACACACATACACAAGAAATATGACTGTGAAATTGGCCAAACTATTTGGCAGCAGCAGCAGCAGCAAATCCAGCAACAATGGCGCCAACATTGCAACCAACAGCGTTTCCGTGTCCAACAATGACTCCAGCATAACACATCACAACTTGCAACAGCAGGCGCCGCCATTGCCTCCGCCTAATGCCAATATGAAGCTGATCAAATACTACGATCATCATCATCATCATCATCAGCATCAGCCCGCGGCAATGACCATTTATGGTCGTGCATACGAGTGCAGTCAAATGGTTGTCGATGTGGGTGAGGACGAGGAGGAGGAGGAGCCGTATGACGATTACGATGACAATATGTCGCTCAGTTCGGCATGCATGCAACGCAATCATCCATACAATAACTCACAGCGTCCCCTGCTCGGCGATCGTCGTACGACGCTCGCCAAGAAAAAAGGAGCAACAACAGTTGCAGCAGCAACCAGTTCACCAATGGCTGGCATACCACTGCCGGCGCCACCATTGCCACCGCAACGCAGCCACATTGGTGGCACCTATGTCTCGCCGTATGTGCAACAACAGAAGCGGGATAGTGTTAAGGGACTGCACGGCTTCAATGACTTCGATACCCTATCCCAGCAATACAATCAGCATCTGCAGAGCAGTCCGCACATTGGCTATCCATATGGCAGTCCCCCATCGCCGACGGCACAATCGAGCGACTTCTGTTTCGATAACAGCAACAGCAACATCAACAGTAGCAGCAGACAGCGGGAGCAATCCTTTAAGGCCGTCTCCAGCAGTAGTTCAACGGATACAACCAAATCAAATTGTAGCTCTAATTCGGCGGCAAACGGATCACCGCCCCGTTATGGCAATGTGCCCTATCCTGACTTGGACTCGCAATCACATCAGCAGCAACAGCAACACCAACAGCAACACCAACACCAGACATCCTCACGTTTCGAGGACGATTTTTGCACGCGTCGCAATCTGGATTTTGTGGGCACAGGATCAAATGTTACTGCACCTGCTGCTGTTGCTGCTGCTGCTGCTGCTGCTGGTCCCGGTCCCTTTATTTTTGGCATCTCGCACGAGCAACAGCAAACGGATTATGGTCGACAGCGTTGCAGTAACAGCAGCAGTAATAGCAACGGCAACGGCAACGGCAACGGCAACGGCAATAGCAACAGCAACAACAACAATCTCAATCAGCCTGTGATAAATGCAACACCCATCAAGGAGCACAATGCGCTGGTAAGTGCCACAAGCAATAGTTGTAGTCTTGCAGTTGCAGCGGGTCTTTGTTTCCTGTTTGCCTGTGCTCTAAATTGGCCTTAATGCTCGCTGATGCCTTTCTAGGGTAATTAGAGATTGCTAAGTAGTCAGCGCTCTCTATAACTCTCTCTCTTTCGCTCGCTCTCTATCTCTCTCTATCTCTATCTCTATGTCTGTCTGCTAAACGGGGCAAGCACACCTGTAAAAGTTTACCGAAAAAGCGATGCCATTGCAGATAAAATTAATTAGTGCGTTGTTCTGTGCAATTATATTCGTTAAAGTTTCACTTGTAAAATGAGGCAACAAGCAAGATAAAAGAAAAGAAAAATCTCAGAGCCAAACACTGCCATCTCATTAAAATCTTTATCTTTTACAATTTAGACGTTTTTGGGTAAAAGATAAATTCAATATCAATTAATAAAATTTGCTAAGCGATTTATATTAATCAAACATACAAAAATGTTTAGTTTTTATTTTTTATTTTTTTCGATTTTTCATTATAATTTTCATTTTCTATGAAAGTTATTTGATAGAGCCGTCCAATTTTTTGTTTAAACTTGTGGAGCATTACACGAAGTGTATTTACTCAGTTTAATCAGGTTATTTGGTAGAAAAAAAGAACTACAAGAACTTGAAGAAAATAAAAACGAATTAAGTCTCGAGAGATACAAATAGTAGAATAACTGAAAGTTTATTTTTATTTTATTTCTTGATAACTTCTTTTTTAAGCACTTTGCTTAGTGCAATGGACAAACTCTATCGATTTGGTGGTTTGAAAATATTAGCAAAAGAAAATGTAATTTCGAGCGTGTCCAAATGGAAGATGGGACTAAATAATTTTGTCACGTTCGCGACCATATAGATTTTTTACTTCAAAAATTAAACAAAGAGTTTATTGAATAATGCCTCCGATTATGTTCTCTACATATATATTTTTTTGTTTATAACTTAAAGGTATCTTAAGCTGAGTATTGTTTTTTCAGTGGTACTCGTTAGGCGCTCACAGAAAAATGCTTGCAATGACAACAACAACAACAACAATAACAACAACAAAAACAACAATAATTTGAAGTTTTTGGTTCAGCAGTAGAAACTTGAAATTTTCACAGCATGCAAAGCACTTGCAGAACAGCAGAAAATGTTCGCAACAATTTCAGCACAATTCATTGATGTTGCTGCTGCTGTTGTTGTTGAGCTTCTTAAGAATTTGTTTTCTGCTGCTGTGGCGGCGGCGGCGGTGGCGGCTGTTGCTGGTGTTCAAATTGAAACGAGCTACCAACATTTTTATGGCACGACTGTCTATTCTGATAATGGCCAAGGCATCTCACCTACGGCCTGCACTTTGAGAGCCAGGCAAACAACAAACAAACCGTTGGACACCACAACAGAACGTAAGCGCAAAAAGCAGTTGAAAAAAAGAATACGAAAATGTATATATATATATTTATATATATATATATATATATACATTTTGTAGTAATGGGAATGAAGCCACCAAGCAACCAAGCATCATCATCGCTGCACAGTGCCTGTCCAACTTGAGTTTTGTGGAGCCTTTCAATGCTCAGCAGAACTTCACCGACGACGGGCGACTTGACTGCAACAGTAACAATAACAACAAAAAGAACAACAACAACAACAACTACAACTACAACAGTTGCATGTAAACCCTCTGCCCCTTCTCCACCTCCAACCTTTGTTTGCCCCCATTAATGCCAAGCAAATTAAAATGTTGCGCAAATAAAATGTAAGAAATTTTCACGTTTTCTTCTTTGGCGAAAGGCAACAAAAGACAAAAAAAAAAAACGTACAAAAAGACAAAAAAAAAATACAATATACAATATACAAGAAAAGAAGCCGTAGAAAACTGTTAAGGGAAATGGCGAGAAAAACTGGATTTCCAAACGCGAGCATCGAGCATTGAGCACTGAGCACTGAGCGCTGAGCGAAATTAAAACACATTTCGTAAATGAATAATGAAATGAATGCATGAAGCGAGTGAAACGAGTGAAACCGACTAACTTGGCCAAAACCAATGGCCAATGACCAACGGCCAACGACCAACGGCCAAAAAGACCGCCATTGGGAAGTGCCCAAAAATCGGTTGAGAATTGCCCACAAATCGAGCAGCTAATGAGCCAACTGAACTGAACTCAGTCACTCAGCCACTCAGCCACTGAGCCGCTTAAAAATGCAAATTGCCCATTTTGTATTTATATATACCCATGCATGTAAGCAAGTACATATATGTATATATATATACGTATATATATATACGATTCAGCCAGGCCATCGGTACCTCTGCTGCCAAGTGGGATTAAAGTATTGAATTCAGAATCGATTTCTAATGTGATTCTCATAAATTTAAGTGATAATATGCGGAAGAGTTTTTCGTAAATTTGGCCCATTAACAATGATAAAAGATTTTTTTTTATTTTTTTATTTTTGGCGAAGAAGAACAACTTTTCACTGCCATACCTTTCTGAAAATTAAACTGATTTTCACAAGCCATGGCTTTTTGATCATAGTTTGAGCTCAAGATTAAAACTGCATTTATATTTGGTAACATAATTTTCGCAAAAGATTCTTGCAAAATGGCTGCGAGCCTATGCTCTACCAGCTGAAGGTGTTGGAGATGGATGGACGGAGGCAGGGGGTAAGACCTGGTATTCAAATGCGGCAGTAGGAAAAAAAAGAAATTCGTAATTGCATTTAAGTTGCTTAATTGACAGTCTGCCTTCGAGGTGGCAAGTAAAGTGCACTTATCGTTGCCGTAATTGCCTACCGTTCGCAATTAATGCATTAAGAGCGAGAGAGAGAGAGAGAGAGAGCTAAAGAGAAAAGGAGGGGGGGGGGAGGGGGGAGACTAGTGAAGAGCTAGAGAAAGTAAGACATGCAAGGTAGTTGTGTATCTGTGTGTATATATTACGATTTAAGTTATATATATGTATATATGTATGTGTAGAGGCCTATTGTCGATTGCAGTCAATTGCCCAATGATCAATTTACCAATTTACCATCCAACTTCTAAATTGCAATTGCCTTTCTCCGTTGAGAGATCCACTGGCAGTAGCTGGCTGCTTTTTTTGCTTTTGTCCCTGAGGCCAGTTTGCTACCAGTTGCCAGTTGAACTCATCGATTGTCATTTGTCGTTTTGAATTGTGATTTTGTTTTGCGTCCGATTCCCAGTCCCAGTCCGAATCGAGGTCATGCATGTCGTGTCAGAAACCAGACAATATACCCGAGACCATATATGAGACGAATGTGAATTGTGTGCTTATGGCATCGGTATCGTATCTTGTCCGCAAGGTTGCGGTTTAAATACATATGTAGCAACGTCGACGGCAACGAAAACAACAACAAACAGCAACTTTAATACTACCTACTAAAATAGCGAGAGCAACATGCCAAATCAAATCAATGTGGAACAAATTCAATTGCGAAAACGTCTTTCGATGATCATTGCAACACAAAAACATAATATTCCACACGATAAGTGGAATATATATATATAAGTAATTATCTTTTTTAAGAAACTAACATCATTTAAAATGCTTACATATCTTTAAGTTTTACAGAGTATCAACGATTCACAGACCATTTGCGAGGTATAAGAAAAACGTACTAGTTTCTTATCGATTTGGCTTAAAATCTTCTGTGTGATTTAGCTTGGCTTTGCAGCTTGCATGAAACTTCTTTGTTTACCATCAATTATTTACAAATTATAGCCGCAATTCAATTAGCACAACAAAAAAAATACAAATAAAAAGAAAAATAATACAAATAATTAAAAAACTTTTGTGTCAACTTGATTTATGTACATATTGAAGCGTAATTTATGATGATAAATGTTTTTTGTTTTGTTTGCCGGTTAAATAGATTTGAAAGGCTTTAATTGCATTTAATTGTTGGCTCAACATAACATTTAGTTTTGGAAAATAATTGAATTACACAATTTGTTTTGGACTAAGCCACCCGACTCGACATGGCTCGAGATGGGCAACCTTACCCACAACCCACAACCCACAATATTTGTATTCAGTTTTATTGACCAATCGGAGTTAATCATAGCATGAATATTGTGTTACTTAAGATAGATTAACTGCAAAATGCGAAACAGCTGCATATGTTTTTTTTTTAAGTTGTGTAGTTGAAATCAATGTTGTTGTTGTTATTGCTGTTGTTGTTGTCGTCATTGTTGTTGTTGTCTGTGACTATTGCCACATAGTTAAGTCGTCCGAGCGCGTCGCTCTGTCTGCTAACTGAGCCAACAGTGCCAGACAGACAGACAGACAGACAGACAGACTGACAGACAGACAAAGTCAGACTCTAATTCAGCTTTACAGCCAGAGTCAGAGCCAGCAAAGAGCAGCGAAGCGATCCAGCAGCTTGACAAGCTTTCAAGCTTGAAACTGGGTGAGCCAGTCAGTGTTGCCAACTTTTGACAGAAAAACAAAAACAAAAAAAAAACAGCTACATTTTGGAGGAAATTGTTTTTGCAACAAAAAACGATATTTGCTTTTTATTATTATTATTTATTAACCCAAAATCTTCTTGATATTAAAAATGGATTTGTATCGATAAAGGTGATAAATAAACTTGAACTTGTATTACAAATTTGCTCTGATCTGGCACTTGTAGTACTCGATCCACTGCGATCGGCGTATTAATGACAGACTGCCACCGGACCGGCTGTGCTGTTCATACTGATCCAGAATATATATTTACTAAATTATACCATTATACTATCATATTGAATATGTCAATGGTTCAGGGTACAAAATATCAATATTCCCGCTGCCCACTTTATGGATTTAACGGGTATCAAGTGTAAGTGTTGGTAACACTCTAGCCAACTCTGACAATGAGGCACAACAACGCTTTGGAAATGCTGTTGTTGTTGTTGTTGTTGTTGCTGCTGCTGCTACTCTGTTTTCGGAATCTCGAACTGTTAAGCTTCACTTCATGCTGCAGTTGTT